GGCAGGAAGCCAGAGAGCAGCGGTTGCGCAGAATGTGTGAGCGCAAACCAAGCGGCAAAATCTTGGTGCCACAAGCCATCCATGACGATTACGTTGCTGGTGGTGACCGCCGAGCCAGCCTGATGAGCATCTTTGAGCAGTGCGGCTTCAAGCGGGACCGCTTTCTAAAATCTTCCTATAAATCTCCATCTATTCAAAGGGGCCCTCATGCACTCACTAGCAGTATGAACCGTGCGGAAAGCTAGCCGTTTGCCCCTTCCAATTCCCCATGCGTTCCTCACATGTTCCAATCATCGGCTATAGACAGCAGGTGACTTTGTTGGGCTCCCAACAGCGGATCTTGTGTTTTGGTAGTTTCGATGAATGTCATGCTGCGTGGGCTAGATCCACGACATTCTCACTCAGGTATATCTATATATGCGTGCATGTTATATAGAGATCGAGACCTTCAATGATTTCGGGTCTTCATGGAAGGGGGGTTGTGTCATTTGATTCCGTGTCAACAGTAAATAGGACGAAATTTAAAAAGGATTTGCCTTGGCAAGTTGTATGCGGCAGGACGCTTTCCTTGGAACGATCACCAAGTCCCGGGAGGTTTCGAATGCAAATACATCTCGCAAGAAGAGAGGGTGGCACACGGCGGAGACTATGAAAACAAAGTTGGGGTGGAGCAAGATGGGGCCTTAGCAAGCCTGCAAACTTGAACCGTTCCTTCATGTTTTCATCCGAACCCATTTTAGATGTTATATAATTGGAGGAAGATCCCAAGAACCCTTAATTAAGGACCTACATTGCTGGGGTCATCAAGTTCTGTGAGCGACCCGAGAACAAGCACCTGCGGAAGCCACTCGTACGCAGACAAGTTTCCTCCTGCGTGTGCACTCAAGCCATGATCAGCAAGGGGAAGTTTCAAGGCCGTAGGCTGCGTGCAGCCTAAGGAAGGACAAGTACAATCCCAAGATCAAGAAGTTTTACGTGGACATCGAAGAAGAGGATGAGAATTTGGAAAAGGAGGAGGAGAAAGAGCGCGAGGAGCATGTTGGTGAGGCAGGGCTCCGTCAATAGAACATGCGACGCATGTTTAACGATCGGTTTTCTGCGCTGTTGTTCATGCAGGAGCTACCAAGCAAACATGTCTTGCGTGCTTGGTCTGCAGACCTCATCTGATTCATCTATCAGAATCTATCATACCTCTTCGACTCTTCAACTGCTGCGTGCTGGCCATGTCTCGATGACACATAATGCAATCCAGTGCCACATATGTAGGCATTGATTTTGCAGATCTGCTGCGCCAGGCCAAGGGCGAGCTCACCTTCAAGCGTTTGGGTGCCGACAACAGCCGCTTGGATGTCACGCCGGCTATCCCTGACACTAGTGATGAAGAGGACGAGGAAAAGGACTCCGGCAAGGCTAAAGCGCAGAACCTTTCCCTCTCTCAGCAGGACCTGGACTTGGACCTCTATCTAGATTCAAGCTAGCTAGCTGCCTAGTGACACATATTGTCATGTATGGGTATGTGGAAGCAAGGGCGGGGATCTAGGCCAGGTTAGGCATAGATAGCCAAACCAATTTACTTTCCAGATTTCGGCAGGAGCTGGTGAAATTTGCCAAGTTTGGGGACTCCTTGCTGACCCGATCAGCAAAGCTGCAAGACTTGATGGCAGATATCGAAAACGAGCTGGGGGAGAAAGAGGTGCCCGCTGACTTGGCTACGAGAGCCAGGAAGTCCATCCCCTACTCATGTGCTTGTGCGTCTTGCCTAGGCTACCATCCAACCCAACATAAGCAAATTTACACCTTGAAAGCTGTGTAGTTCCTCGCGCAACCCTGTAATTTTCTTCACGACTTTAGAGCCCTTGCTGAGGTCTGTGAAGCTGTTGGATAGCGCCGTGTCTATTCTCGAGAATGAGTATGAGCAGGTTCAGCAAGTCAAGGCTGACGCATGCAACCTCGAGAATGAGCAAATTCCGGACGCCGAGAAGAAGACGCTGCTTGCCCATTCAAAGCTAAGATTCTTTAAGCTGCATGCATGCACGCAGATCAAAGCAGTGTGACCATTCAGCTGTGTATGCGCATGCTTGACTGAAGCCCTGAATTGGTTCAGCCCTGCCAGCCTTCAGCGAAATAAAAATGCGGCAGTGCCAGATATTGTACGTACTGCGTCATTGAACCTGGGCTGCCAGGTTGCTTGAGAAGTTGCGGGTGCAATTGAGGAAGACCCGCGTTGCGCAGGAATCTTAGAAACAGACTGCATGCAAAACATCTTGTGGCGCGTTGAAGTACTTCTGTAGTCTACGACATACTTAGAATACTTTGTCTGATGCTATGAAGGTATGCGATTGATCAGCCGCAAGAGTGGATCCATGTAGAAACATTAAATGAAGTGCCTGCGAGTCGCAGCATCAGATTGTCCGAGCATGTCCTGCTCACAAGATTTCCTCAGTTGCTCCCCAGGTGCGCCAAAGTGACGACTTCTGAAAGCACTGCAAAGCCTCTTAGCAGCGCTTCTTAGCAGCTCCGGTAGCTTCAGTTCTACAATCACTTTTCTCGGCAAGGTGGCAGCTTTTGCATGTGTACGGAAGCCGTGATCGAACCCCTTTACAAGAACGTTTAATGAATACGTGCCCGGGCCCCCCCTCACTAAAGCTTTCGCCATTCATCTTTAGACACCCCTGCGCTAATCTACATTACGCATTTCCTCCACTCAGCTTTGCTACAAAAAATTCAACCCAGGACGTGCCTGAAGAACATGCAGAAGAACGGGAATGACAAGTGATCCTTATGTGCTCTTGCCAGCTAGTGAGTGCGATTGTGGGGAGCTTTACCCACACCTTCCCTCGTAGCTGCTTGTGTTCTTGTGTACACGAGCATGCGCAGCTCGCTTCATGATCATGTATGCAAGCCAGCCTTAGCATAGCTGTCAGACCTTTCTAGAACCTGATATTTTCTGGCCCCAATTAAGAGGCGCTTTCGTGGTTGCATGGTCGATGTTATGGAACAGGGAAACACGTGCAAAGCATGTGATGGTCATGTCATCTGGCTGGCTTCTTGTGCGAAGTCATTTCAAAGCTTGCAGCGTCGGGTGCCGGAGCCCAAAATGAAAGCTACATGCCTGCAAGCCTCTGAACAGTTCAACACGTAGCTGTGATCGATCCCCATCCCCAACCTGAAACTCTTACGTGGTGCTAGCTAGCGTCATAAGCAAGCGCCTTATGCAACTACAGAATTGTTGGCTAGTTGCTTATACCTCTAGAATTACCATTGGCCAGGTGACCGCACACCTGGCAAGCTGCTTTCCGAGCTTGCCCTCAATGTTTCGAGAGGAGCAGCAGCCTCAAACAGGGGAAGGCGTGCAGGCTGTGTGCGAACTTTCGGTAAGGTACGTAACTGGGTTATGTAAAGACCGGACACAATGCGAGGTAGGATCCTATTTCGGACACCATCTCGATTTGGGTACTTGGCACATTCTAAAGGAGTTCCAGCTTTCATAGACAGTTTCATCGGCTGGGAACCACGCAGGGCGTGCACATGAGCTGTACTTATCGGCAAATTGCTCCTTAAAGGCGGTTATATAGGGGATTATATGGAAGAGTATTCTAGGTGTTAGTAAGGGGGATACTAGAAGTTGTGTAGACTTTTCACAGCTCATATAGAAAGGTTGAACTGCTGAAGATGTATTTTGGCGCACTCATTTGGCGGTTCATTGGCTCTGTGGAGGCTGCTACCATTTCTTCTATGTACCTTCCAAGCTACCCTCGTGCGGACAGAAATGTAGGGCTAGCGTGTCAGAGTTTATTAGAATTCTAATCTCGTATAATCTTCCCCAAAGGTATTGCGACCCAGAAACCCAACCAACCGGACCCCATGGATTATGCAAGGTCTGTTTCTGAAGTCTCAATACTTTCGAGGCCTTTCCGCAAAGTCAAAGGAACCTTGCACTTGTATAAAGCACCTTTGTTTACTTCATGATTCGACTAGCTATCTGCATCAACCTAGCTAACTGCCATGGAAGACTTGCGCGATCTCTTGACATACACCTGCCCTTTTACTGGAGCATTGCGATGCGCTTTGCCCGCGAAAGCAGACGAGGACCAACCCCACGAAGCAAAAAGGCAGAGGCGCCCAACCCACAATTCGAAAACCCCTAATTTAAATTGGTATCTATCTAGGTATACATATATATATATATGTATACTACATATGGGTCCATGTACAGATGCAAAAACACGTAGGTACGGGGCCCCATGAAGTACTTGCACGCAACCCCCAACAACCTTCGATTATTTTTTCTTGAGGAATCGGTGAATCGGTTCTTTGTTGAAGTTTGGGGAATTATATTTATAAAGCTTAGACCCCTCGGGATTTATATGCAAGCCCCATGCGTTCATGCAGGCTTCAAGCTGCGAGTCACCAAAATTCTGAGAATCATTCGACATGCTGTGGAACTATTGCGAACCTGGGAGATAAGCGTGCTCTACATGCTGAATGTCCCCCAGCCCTGGAGAAGCCAACAATACTGGCGCCTCCCATGCGTCGCCCGTTGCAGCAGCATCTTGTACCAGCACCTTTGTTGAACAGGAAAGTAAATGTTGGCTTACTTCTTTTATGGGCTTTTTAGAAATGACTTACGTGTCTTACGCTGAGGTGGCTTTGGGTTGCAGGGACTTCTTGTAATCATAGTTATTGGGGTCGCTACGTGGTTGGGACACTAGCTATATAGACTTGTATATAATGCGTATGGCACCCTTGCTTTCAAGTTTCTCCCAATGTGATCATCAAAGCGCCATCATGCATACTCACCAATGAAAATGATGTTGCTTGTAGAACTACCGATTTGCCTACCTGGCAGTCACTAAAGTTCTAGTTGGTATCAGGGCCTCAATTTTGATCTAGAACTACGCACCTATTTTGGAGGAATCCAAACAACGACCAGCATGCCTTGATGACAGGACCCGAGAAACCTCCTGGATGTGTCCCTCAACTTCGAGCATACAACCTCTATGTGGTCTGAGCTACGAGAATTTTCCGTGATTTACAGAGGACTCCGTTCTGACCGCACTAGTCCCACATGCGGTCGAATACTGGCACATGCAAGAACCCAGGTGTCAGCATTTCGGGAGAGGATTGGGTTGCAACTTTGCGTTTTTAAAATCGGAGTCACCGCAAACCCTCCGTTCCGTTTTGTGGATTATGTTTCGAAGGGTTTTACTGAGATGTGGGTTGTTTTTGCTGGGTCAGACCTGGGAATGGTTCACATGCTAGAAGCAGCTTTAATTCTGGAATTTGGCCCAGCAACTGGGTGTCAGAATGCCCTGGGTACTGGGGGAGAAGGGGCCCTGAACAGAAAGATTTCGGACGGTCCTCCTTTTTTTGTTTATGTTACCGGTGGTAGAGCAGATCAACCCCGGAGAGTTGGCTAGTCCAAAATTCATTTTGCGGAGTTTCGGACGGTGCCTGCATGCGTGCGTGTGGCTTAATATTGGCCATTCGCCCCATCCAGTTAGAATCACAATTGGCTTCCTTGCCGGTCGACGCGACAGTGATGGAGAGCACAAAAGTCCATAGCAGATCATAGCAACAATCATATCTAGTTCTACTTGTGCACATGTGCGACCAAAATCATGCCCATCGATCTGCCTGTCTGCGTAGCATGCGCACAACAGTGTTTCGCGCAGTTTCCCATATAAGTGCATTACATCCCGGCTTGTGTGCCGTGCCCAGGTCCCATGCGCCCACGCCGTCTCCATCGCGAAGGCGGCAGTTGATCAAGATTTGTCTGCGGCCGACCCTATGTTGTTACGATTGGCCAATGTGTCTCTTTCGGACGCAGAATCAGGCGCCCATGCAGTGTTTCGAGAAGCAGGGCTGACTGCACCTGTGCCAATCAGTACTGCTAACTTGGGTGAGGACCCCGCTGTGAGGAAGTGGCCATATGTCAAGTTTTCGGATTGGATGCGCCTCTTGATAGATACAGGACGCTTGCCCCGCCAGCTCTGTGGTGTGAGAACAGTTGCAGAGATGCGTCAACGACTTCGAGTTTTCTGGTTTCGCTTCCAGGCCTTGCGCCCCACCCACGAAGTGTTCGTCAGGGCCATGCGTGGACAAATTGATCTTAGCAGGGCAGTCCCAGTGTGGAGCCACACAGATGAAGGCCGCACTCAAAAGAAGCTTGCTTTGTTGGTGTTGTCCGTGCATGGCTGCCTTGGTCGGGGGCACGAAGCAGTACTTGGATGACATTCAAAGGGACCCGGACAAAAGGGATGCCATGGGTCTCAATTTTCTTGGACCGTCGTGGGGGACTCAGTTCCTCTTTTCTGTGATGATGCGCGGGGTATGGCAAAAGTATCCCCGAGCTTTGGACAAGCTCGTGGAACTGTTTGCAGATGATCTGAGCAAATGTGCACTTCAGGGCGTAGCTAGCACCCGCAATCCGAATGAAGTCTTCTTTGCAGTGCAACTTGGAACGAAGGGGGACCTCCCGGCGTTGATCAAACTGGGTAATTTCAAACGTACATATAACAGGGTCCCAAAAACGGCCCGCTCGAACACACTTTGCCGCGGGATATGCCATTGGTGCGATGCAGGCAGGGAGGGTGACTTTCCTGTCTTCTTCGAAGATCTTTCCAGTGAACCTGGCTGGCTCGCTACTTCTTTCATCAACCCTCCATGGGACACGGAGCCTACAATGCTGAGGGGCCAGCTTCTTGAACCTCAGAGGCCAAGTTTCTTCTTTAGAATCGATCTGTGGCATTGTTTTCATTGCGGGGTTGCCCGTGTGTGGTTGGCGTCTGCCTTCATCGTGCTGTGCAATCTGGGTGTGATTGTTGGTGGGTCGGTTGACGCGCGGTTTCGAAGCCTCACTGACAGCTACAGGGAGTTCTGTGCTCGCCATCGGTTGGCCATGCATATTCAAGAGTTCACCCGCGACAACCTCGGCTTTGATTCTGAGGCCTCTTGGCCAGTGGGGAAATGGAATAAAGGGGCAGCTTCAACCCACATGATGCTATTTCTGGAAAAGTTCATGGAAGACCGCGTTGTGGGTCGCACTGATGATGTGTTGCTGCTTGCAATCGTAACTTGTCGCTGCTGTGTGCAAGAATGTTTCATGCTTCACACCTGTTAAGTTTTATGTTGTTTGATGAGAGGCCTCCTTTTTATGATAAAATTTATCAACTTGAAATCGTTTCGTGTTCTTCCGCTTTCTTCAGCCAAGGCAAGGGGCACCAAAGCTATGAACCTTTTCCTGAAGATGCTGTACCGCGAGGGATTCTGGATCAGGCGTGAGCAAGGCATCACGCTTTCAAACTTGCACTTGATGTTCTTGAAGTGTTACCAGTTTGCCGTGTCGGAGTGTTTGGAGAGAGGTATGAATCGTTTCACCCTAGTACCGAAAATCCATATGATGCATCACTGCGCGATCCGAATGAAGCTTGAATGCGCAGCAGCGCAATACTGTTGCAACCCACTGTCGGAAAGTGTACAGATCCAAGAAGACTTTATTGGACGACCGAGCCGACTGTCCAGGCGAGTTGGTATCCGACTGGTGCATTTGCGCGTCCTACAGAGGTCGCTTATTGCACATCAGTTTGCTCTCAGGAGCTCAGATCTGGATGACAGATGTTAAGGGGCTTCGTGAGGTCTCCAACCCTGTAAGTATCCTAGTTTTGTAGATACTTACATAGACCCAGAAGACCTTCATGTTCCTACTAATTATGGGCCCCATATGTACTTGCAGTCTATGCAAGAATAATTCTGCGTATCAAATCCTTGTAGGAGTCCTCAAGCTGAAGGTCTTTCTTGGTCTTTGTATGGAAACGTGCCCTTCTAATCCACAAATCCCAACTTCATAATCCATCAACCCAAAGCCTCACTAAGCCTGGCTAGCGCAGCCATAGCACGGATCGTCTCGGATGACGCAAAAGATCGATGGCAGCTCCATGCAAGGCATGGAGTGGGATGGTCTTAACTCTTTCTTTCAGGGTTGCATTTACGGATCTTAGGGTTCCTTAGTGGTTATGTTGGCTTCAACCGGGGCCATGCTGACATATGATCATTGCGGGTGCTTTCTTTCTAGAGGGTTTCGCGGGCTATCTATGGTCCCCCCATCAAACCAGTAGATTAAGAGGGTGGTAATGGTGATTCTTTGCATGAGCCAGGCGCATAACGTTACAGCAACAGGTTCAAACTTGGTCCCAACGCTTCGTCCTTGTGAACCCTTATAAAATGTGCATTTCTGAAAGACCTAGTTTTTCCAAAAGGTCCATAAATTGACTAAAGGGCCTGAAATCCTGCTAGTTTATTGCACTTCCCTAAAACTGAAAGCCTCCCAGGGCTAAGGTAATCCCTATATAGTGTTGCCGATAGTTTTGCGTAGATGTAATAACATGATCACGTGTAATCTCAGACATGCACATATACATGTGAGTATTTAGCGTGCTTTACGGTATGACAGGTTGATGAACGTTCACGTCATGTTACCATATATATATATATCATGATATATATCTCTATATATATATATACACACACCAGTTTTTGATCCCTTTGACCAGGATCCCAACAATCAACCCTAAATCTGAAATTGCAAGCCCCAACCCTAAACCCTCAAGCCGCGAACCTCAGACCCTAAACCCTGAACCCTAAACCCTGAACCCTAAACCCTGAACCTAAACCCCAAACTCTGAACCCGAAACCCTAAACCGAACCCTATGATCCAATGATCAATAGTCTAAACTCCTGGTATCTCTCTTAATAGCCCCCATAATAGTCCCCAATGTAATTCCCTATATAGACCGTTTTAAGCAGTTCAGACCCTAAACCCTAAACCCAAATACCTGAACCCTAAGCCATTACAAGCCCTACGCCCGAGATCCCAAACCCCAAACCCCAAATCCTTAGCCCTAAACCCTAAACTTATCAGCCCTAAACCCTGCAAACCTTAATCCTTTGGGCTTCAGACACCCAAGGCAAGTGGCGTCGGCAGCGGCGCGCCGCGGGGACGCGGCGGCCGCAAAGGCTTGGGTTCAGGCCTCTGGGCTTGGGTCTAGGATTTAGGGTTTACGGCTTAGGGCTTAGGGTTTAGAGGGTTAATTTAGGGGAGTAGTATGAACATTATGAAGGGGGATACTTGGAGTTTAGCCTTTAAGGCTTCTGATAAGGCTACCACTGGGCTTCTGACCCAAAGGATTGGGGTTTAGGGGCTAGGGCCTTAGGGCATGGGGTTTAGGGTTTAGGGTTTTGGGCTTAGGGTTTAGGGTTTAGGGCTTCTAGGGTTCTGGGTTTAGGGCTTAGCGTTGAGGGCTTAATAAGTATACCCCACCCAAAAAATCCAAGTACACAGGGTTTACCCTGCAGGGATACAAATAGCCCAACTTTAAAACCTAAACCGCAAACTCTAAACCCTAAACCCTAAACTTACGCCCCCCCCCCCCTATTTGCGCGCGCGCCCCAAATGCCCGCTCATCAGAATGTGCTGTGTATTGCAGTGTTTTGGTGGTTGTGAATGTGGTCG